CGGTACTACAATACTGTCTCCGTGTTTTCCATTCAAAATACGTCTTAATTGACCAAACCCAAAATTAACGATGAAAAACCGTATCACAAGTTAACCTCGTGAGGCAGCCAACCATTCTCTGTAGCCTCTAACGATAAGCACCCCCTGCCCCAACACACGCGACCCCCACGCGGCCCCTCTACCATCATGCCAATGCATACTACCCCCATGCAGTAGTCCTCTGTTGTCAGACTACACGCGTAGTGATCCCTGAAGACCCTGATGAGGACTCACTTGGTTATTATTAATAGTGATACTTCGAAGTATAATAGTAATCTCTTTGAACACCAGTGCTTGCTTTAGCCTTGCTCTCCAAACACATCCCATCCGTGAAAGACCCTACATACAACTTACCCACACGGTCACCAACACCCAACACCTATGGCATATCCAATCATGAATGACCATATCACAGCAGCTGTGGTATTGCTCAAGGATCCCTTTTGGTTGGCCCTCGATAGTTTTTGAAGGCGGTCACCAATTAAACAACATGTCCATGATCCCCGCGACATGTCGGACCAGACTCGAGGACCAAAAAAAAAAAAAACACCTATAAAAGTCTACATGGCGAATATGTAGCGTACCAAATTCAAGAAAAAAAAAGACAGAAAAAAATACTCGAAGCACGTGGGATCGAACCCCTGTCTTCGTGTACCCATGACCTCCAAAAATAAGGAGGGATGAAAAATGTTATCCCGTGCCCACTTGCCACTTGCACATACTGTAGTAGACACGATGGTACTTTGCTACGCGCACAATAACCCGAAATTTACCTGTTGCACAATTATTATCCCAGAAGGGTTCTATACCAACAACACACCCCACCAACTACCCAACACCTTCCTTCTACACCTTCCCAGCAAAACATACAACAGGTAGATGCAACAGATGGCTACCAAACTGTCTTGTTGACCCTGTTAACCACGGGGGAGATATCTCTCTGTGTGCTGCTCGGGAAATCGTGTGAGTAAATAAATACAATCTTCTTGCCTTATCGTCTTGACGCGCTCGATTTCCTCGTCCGTGTAGGTCGAAGAGATCTTCCCCACGAAGATGCTGGCGGCCTTGCGGATATCACCTGCTTGGAAAGTGAACCCCGGGAAGCAAGAGCAGGAGAGGAGAAAAGGTGTTGTCCCCAGTGCTTCTTGCTTCCATATAGCCACAAGTCGCTTCGTAGCCGGCTGTTGAACGAGCGTCATCGACCGCCGAATCATACCAGCAACCAGTCTATCTACACCAATCTCTCAACCGCGGGCATGATGATAGACGAAGCTATCAGTGACGCCGTTGTCGCGTTTGTTTGGCTGAGCCGCCGGTCCATTGTATGGAGTGAGGAACGTATGCATACAACGCGCGCATACCCGTTTGACCCAAGTACAGCTGCAACACACACACGCAGCTTTGCTTGCAGAGATTGCGTGAAGTAACGTCTCGGGCACACACCTGGTTCTTCTCCCCGTGAAGAGATGACGTTCAGGCATGCCGACATGCAGTCGCGCTGTGCCGA